ACAGATATTGCAGCAATACGTCTAGGTTCTGTGACACCAATCATTTTGTTGCCACTAAAAATAAATAATACATAATTTGTGTTAGTAATTCCATTCAATCCAAGGGTTGATTGTGATTGTCACTATTATATTGTTTGTATAGTGTGATACTGATAGAAATGTCTYATGTTATTCATTTATGATTTATTTACAAAATGCAGGTATTGAATTTATATTTGACATAAAAGTGTGTTTACTTTGAATAGCCAGCTTCGTATAAAAATTGAGGTACTTGGGTAGTTTTTCCACTACCTGTTTCACCAACAACAATAATGACATCGTTTTCACTGATTGCTTCCATAATGACTTGTTCTTCACCAATAATCGGTAACTTTGAACGAGACTCTATAATTTGTGGTGTTCGATTAATTGGAACTATCTGCTTTTTAGCAGCAGAATCTATTTTGCCACTCATAATTACTGATTATGTAAAAATTTACAATTCACTTAATAATTTAATAGCATACAATAAATCAAAAATGTAAACCACAACAAACAAAATACATTTTGACGTATTGAAAAATATAAATTATTTGAATTTCTCACGTGGTGGTGATGTTTACTTTTTGTTGTTCAGCAGTATATGATAAGAAGATTTGATAAGCAACAATGATGAAAAAACTTTAATAGTAGTCAGTAGATACTATATAGATAGTAGATGCCGCAGATTAGCTYAATATTYTTTGTTACCGCATAATTCACAGTTRAAATTGAAAATTTTCTAGAATTTCGAATGCTACATTACTTATATAGTTATATTAGACATTAGCACTTGAAAAGTTTAAAATGTATTTAAAATATAAATCATATGTAACTTATAAGTAATTTGGGCTAGGGCTAATACTTACTTTTGGCAGATGTATTTGACTGATACTCAAATATTTTTGATAAGTAGGTGTTCAAATATTTTCAAATACCACCCAGAATAATATCAATTGATTTTTGTTATTATATTTAGATAGGTACGCGAGGGTCTAATTACAATATTTAAGATAACGTAGCACTGACATTTGTTGTTTCTCTTACAAGTGTATAGCATATTAGCATAATAGCATACCACATTTACGTTCAGCAAATCCCGTGTAGCTTTTTTAGTTTAAAAATTATAGTGAATTAGCCTCTTATGAAACTTGATGGCAAAAATATTATCTGTGTTTGTATGTTTATTTTTTTTATAATAGTACTATTTTTTTAGCAAGTTTTGCGTACCTATATAAAATAATATAAATTAGAATACTCATTACTCACTTTAAAATTGAACTATCATAAAAAACTCACATACGATATACAAACACAAATAATGGTTATACCATYATAAGAGGTCGATTTACTCTAATTTTTAAACTCATGAAGTTACACGTGATTTGCTGAAGGTAAATTTGGTATATTACGCACTTGTAAGGGGGGGACAACAAATGCCGGTGTTACGTCTTCTTAATATCATAATAATAATTATTTCATAATRTTCATCTGTCAGTTGTCACAATCCATGGGATTCTGCCGGTAATAACCCACTAACCGTCGGTTAACCGTTAACGGACGCTTAACCGAACATTGTAAAAACCGGCCTTAGATACTTAGGAATTTGTGATTTCTCTGTAATCTATAAAATATTAAGCAATAATTTCCATATTTAGAATTAGGTACATAAATTATAAGATACTGAAATTATAAATAATCTACTACTATCTTCCATAATTCCATATAGATTTTAAACTCTGAACCAGAGTTGAATCCAGGCATTCTTTAAGAGGAAAGACAAATGTCTTGTAATTTCATTCGCCTCCTGACAAAAATACAACTTCTAACAAAATGTATTTATTAATTATACAATACTCGTTACAATTATTTAGAACTTATTTAACCATCATGTTTATTAACATTTGTTTTGTAACTATTCCTAAATTTAGAATTTCTTAGTTGTTATTTATAATAACTAATAAGTAACTAATAAAAGATTTTATAATACTTAAATGTATTTACCAATGGAAAAAAGAGCACTGCCCTCCCCCRCCTTAGATAGTCATAAAATATATTGTCTGGATTCAACCMTGTTCTGAACTCTATAGATACCTACCTACTATAGATTGTAAATGTACTTGATTCTGTACATAACTATTCTACATCCTGGTTAAGGTTCGTGCATCTATARTCATTTATTGTAAGTCTGTAGATYTGTATATGTAATATTTTTGTACCATATGTCGTATAAATATAATAATAAATTAATAACCACCAACTATATAATCTATAATTAGATATTCAATCATATCTATTCATCATAATATGTTGTAATATATTAAATAGACTATTATTATAATAGGCATTAGCACAACCAGTAATTTTCTGAGAGGAAGAATCTAAATTATAATGTTAAATATTCCTAAATTAAACATGATATTATGATGAATACTCATTACCCAAATGCGTATAAAGGGACCAATACTTCTGAACCTGTAATCTACATACATTATTTTCTCTTCTTGTTTTGTTTGAGCTAATGATAATAATTGTACAACGTTTACAAGCTTAAAAAACAATTTATTTTTTAGTAGGCACTATCGTGAA